TAATTTATATATTTAATAATAATATAATACAAGGATAATAAATAAAACTTTAAGAATTGAATTTTCGCTGAGCAAACATCGGCTTTGATTTTCTCGAAGAATACAGAAAGATTGTCACTAGCACGTGCCTTCTCCGGAACACTCTGTACACGCGTGCGTTTGTGTGTGTCCGTGTACATAAAATATATATATATATACTATATACTATATATTTATATATATATATATATATATATATATATATATATATACACATATAAACCGACGCCTTAACGCTTTGCGCTATTACTCACCTTGGCATCACGAATCGGCTGATCGTATCGGAATATCGAGTGTTCCTTATCGAGGATTTCTTAATGATCATCACGATTCCAAAAGATTCATGTTTTTTTAAGGAGTACTTACGCGTTCAGTTAGTATGTTGCCAGAGACTCTTCTACATACATTCGACATTCCTGTTGCCACACGGTCTGTAGAATCTTGTGCATGTACTTATGACAATCGATGATTAAAGCGAATCTGAAATTCATGTAGAATCGTTACTAATACAACCTTTTGCAACTAGATATCATATCACTACATATGTAAATTAACAATTCTCATCTTTCCCCCTAACTAAATAAGAAATCAGATGTGCGATATATAATTTACTTGAGACACCCTGAGATAAAAATTTCGTAATCGTGTGTTGAGGCAATGAAAGAAAATTCAATTTTCAATGATTATATTTTTATCATTGTAAGCTCGTTTCGTGCGTGGAAATATAAGAATATTATATCGTTATTTTTATGAGTGCAAAATTTAATTCAATTACGTCTCTATATTTTTGCAAAGTTTTATATATTTTACACATCTCATGAATGACTTTTATATTTCATTTTTAATATTATACAAGATAGAATATTATATAAGAGAATAATTCTCTTGTAATTTAATTTTAATGACAGATCTTTTTAATAAAAGAACGTTCAAGTCTGTGTATTTTTTTTAATAAAAAAATGAGCAATAATAATAAAACATTAAATAAAACTCCAATATCTCTTTCGTGTGCCTTGACAAGCGATTGCCAACGATCAATCGCCCTATCATTCGCATGCAACTCTGTTTTTTTCCGATTGCACGGACAAATCGTAGAGATAGGAAAAGCGAGGCGAATTGAGAACATACTCTTCGGAAAAACCGATCTTGAGTGTCTTCCGTTCTCCCAGCATGAATTCCAAATACCTGATCCAATATAGTAGAGATAATTGGACAAAAGAATCAATCGCTTTTTCCTAATCTATACGATTCGATACATACAATCGCCAAACGAGAATGATAACGCGAGCGACCCTTTGCGAAAACGCAGCGATGCGGCTCCCCGCACCACCGTGATCGACACCGCAAAAATCAAGGCCCCCCCGGGCAAGGGCTGCCCCCGTTGCGGTGGCGTCGTCTTCGCCGCCGAGCAGGTGCTCGCCAAGGGCCGCGAGTGGCACCGGAAGTGCTACAAGTGTCACGACTGCACCAAGACCCTGGACTCGATCATCGCATGCGACGGCCCGGACCGGGACGTTTACTGCAAGACCTGTTACGGAAAGAAGTGGGGACCGCACGGATACGGATTCGCATGTGGTTCGGGATTCCTCCAGACCGACGGGCTCACGTAAGTCGTGCCCGATGCCGAGAGTCTAGGACTTTATATTCTTTCTTCTTACGCGTGTGACTATAAATACAACTCGGTTTATATATAACCGAGCCCCGCCGGGTCTCTATAAATGAATGCGTTGAACGAAAGGCCCCCCGAAAATTTCAAATGATACCATGACTTTGTTAATTCGTGATTTGCTTGAATAGAACACATCATCGAAAGAAATTAAAATTATAATAGTTCTTGTTAAATTTTTACGACAAACTTTTATCATAAAATTTATAAAGAAAATTTGTACAAAAAGATTTTATTTGGAACTTTAGCGGTCTCGTTTCATAAATGTGAAATATATATAACTATTTCTAATACAGTTTATTAATAATTAAAAGAAAATCTTTTAAAAGAACATTTTTGAAAAATATGTTACGATATATGTATAATCCAAAAAAATTAATAGATATAGAAAATCGAACGATAAAAGCTAAAGACGATAAAAACTAAAATTTTTGATTTTTAAATAAAATTGGCACAATCAAAAAATTCGGTATTTAAGACTATATATACTTCGAATTTTTAAACAATACATATATTACCAATTAAATATTTTACTACTGTATGGCTTTTAAGTAAAACAAATTATTCAAATAAAAATGTGGGTCAAGCTTAAATAAGGAAAATTTAATATCAATTGATGAGAACTGTATTGATACGATTACGTTAATTACCCGTAGGGAGGAAGAAATTTCAGCCAATCGACCTTACTACAATCCTGATACGACCTCGATTAAGGCGCCAGCTGGGCAGGGTTGCCCCCGTTGCGGTGGCATGGTGTTTGCTGCGGAACAACAGCTCGCCAAGGGCACCATGTGGCACAAGAAGTGCTTCAATTGTGCCGAGTGTCATCGGCCTTTGGACTCTATGCTGGCATGCGATGGTCCCGACAAAGAAATTCACTGCCGCGCGTGCTACGGAAAGCTCTTCGGGCCCAAAGGTGTCGGATTCGGCCACAAGCCGACTCTCGTCTCGACAAACGGAGATCATGCTCCCTCATAGTAAGTGCATTCCGCAAGGTTCCCGAGAGTTCCTGAAATAGAGTAAAAAATGCTATAGCGAAAAGTTTATTTTCGAGAAAACTTTGATGATTGGCAGCGATTTTAATAATTGATCTACTTGTGATTATAATTCTAAATCTGAATAATTATATTGAAAGAGATTATTTGGATCGTTAAATATAGCGTGGTCGATTTATATGACACAGTAATGTTCACAAGCATATCCTTAGAAAAAAAGTTCTTAATCTTAGATATAATTTATAGTAATTTATATTTAATTTATAAAGGATTAACATTAAAATCCTTCTTCTTAATTTTCATTTGTAAAAATATTTAAAAGAGTATAGGAATTTCAATAAATGAGAGATGTATTTTTAAATAAATTTGGGAAATAGTTTTTTTTTAATTGAAATTTGAATAAAAGCCATTTATTTTGTAGTATCTTAACAATTATAGATTTTTATCAATCCATTATGAATTGATTGAAAAAAAAAGATATCGTTTTTTCTCGATAATTATAATTTCTTTCAACCTTTTCAATTTTGGATAATAGATACTATTTAAAATTTCAGAAATATTATACATTAAAAATTTTTTAAAGAAAATATTTACTGTTCTCAAGAATATCCCATACATATATATTAAGTATAAAAATAAATCAATAAAAAACTAATTTTTCAACTTTGAGGAATAGTTCGTTGAGATAAAAATACATGTAAATATACGTACACAATTTCGACAGATCAAAAAGTGTAGCGTAGTATCATCTTAGGCTATCCTTTCGTCGAATCAGGTCAGCTTTCGATTCTTTCACAATCCACTGCAGATTAGATCCTTAGACATTGACTTTCTTTTCGCAGCATCGAGTCCAAGCCCCAGGTCGGCCAGAAGCGAAACGACGGTCACGGCTGCTCGCGCTGCGGCTACCCGGTGTACGCCGCCGAGCAAATGATCTCGAAGAATCGCGTGTGGCACAAGCGGTGCTTCAGTTGCGGTGCCTGCCATCGTTCCCTCGATTCGACGAATCTCAATGACGGCCCGGACGGGGACATCTACTGCCGCGGCTGCTACGGCCGAAACTTTGGACCCAAGGGTGTAGGCTTCGGGATGGGCGCGGGCACCCTCACGATGGCCTAATTGCCACCAGCACCCCTACACACCGTTCGAGGAGAACCCTCGCCGATCCAGTCTTAAATATTAATGTAAATACATCTATATATAGAGGCGTCTCTGACTGTGTATTTTCGATGACAGACGAACGCGCTGCTCCGGAAATTTCGATTTCTCCTTTCCTAGCTTACGACGATTCGATGATTTCGATGACTGTGCTTTCATTATTGCGAACGCAATCGTAGCGAAGGATGGTGATGTCTTGAGCCTATGAGCCCAAGATCGAACGTAAACGGATAAGCCGCTGCAGATTGTTGATAATATCGCGATATAATATTGCACATTGATTATATCATAAATAAATTAAATATTGATTAATAATCTATCTGTGATATAAATCAAGGCAAAAGTTTGAAGGTGTCGTTTTAATAACAATACGATTCCTACACACTTTTCTCTCTTCGAAATATAATAAGCTTTGAAATTAAAAAAAATAAGAGATAAGATATTTATAAACTTATAAAACAAAGAATATATATACATTGATTATTGTATATTAGTAATATAATTTTCTTCAATTTAATTTTAAAATTTTGCTCATTTGGTAAAAGAAGAGATCGAGTGTTGCCATTATTGAAATAACATTAGCTGTGATCGCGTTATATCAATTTATTCTAAATTATCGACAATATGTGTGCGGACTTATCAATTAGATCCATTCTCGCTTAATCGTCACGATGGCTTGCGGGTTGCTGTAAAGATTTTACGAGAAATCTGTAAATTGCAAGAGCCAAAATTGAAACGTCAATAATATCGACATGATGTTCGACAACTGCTTTTCATGCGATTTTTACAGCAGCCTGCTCGATCTCCGATGACGACGCTATATGCAAACGACTAATCTGATGATGAGCAATTACGAAACTTTTGTTATTTTCTTTTTCTCCTTTTCTTTTCTTATTCTTGATCAGGAAATTGGAGATTACGACTCGAGAATCGATCCGCGAGATGTCTGAAAAAAGAAGTTATAAAGATAATGGGAAATTAAATCTCTTTGAATTTATATTTTCTTTGGTCAAACTTGTTCAAAAATTTTTACGCTTGTTTGGATAAAAAGATAGAACCTTTCTAAATAATTTCTGCATCTCTTTTGTTCTGGATCTCTTTCCACTTAATCCGAATCAATAATAGTTAAAGTATCGATATTGATCGAAATAAAAACGAATTTGGAAATTGCGTATCTCACATTAAAAAAGCTCAAGACGAAGATATGTTCAATAAATAAAAAATGTACTTCGCTCCGCTAATGAAGCAAATCGCCAAACAGATTTTTCACATATAATGTTGCTCAAGTTAGCATTTTTGATCGTTAACATTGCTCAGAATTAAATGTGTAAAAGTGTAAATAATTCTTTTTTATCCATTAGCTATCGCCTACGAAACAGAATGCATCATATAAAATATAAATTATAGATGTATAGCTTATTAACTGTTTCGATCGACGATTTATGCAATAACGATCGGCGCGCGCGTAAAAACTCTACCACGAACGAGCATTGCTCCTGCATCGATTTTAACATAAAAACAAAGGTTTTGGAATTTGTAATAATTTATCACCTGGTATCGATTGCAGCCGACACATCCGCGGACGATATAAACGTGTGAATACGAATAAAAATCTATATAACCGGGCTACGACCAGCAGCAACGATGTAACCGACGACTAAGACGAGAAACTAATTTAATTATGATTTTCAATAAATGTATACTTGAAATTCTCTGGACAGTTTTCTTTACCCAAACAAATTTAAATTAATTGATTCACATTTTTAATATATATCTTTAAATATACCATACACATTTCATACTTTTTATCTAAAGTATAATACTTCATAATAACATATATATTAAAATAACACATTAAATAAAAAAAAATAT